GTGCGTATGCATTTAGCACTTTGTCAGGACACAGATCTGGTCTGTTTGATCTTTATCGTCACTACGGATTCGAAATGCCTTCCGAACTTAGCAATTCGTTGAAGAAGGATTTCAAAGGCGTGAAACGAACAGTTGCTAAGGGTGCATCGGAGACGAAAGATGTTAAAGTGAGTAGTGGGAAGGACCCATTATCATTCGAAGGATACAAAATGTTAGGGAATTTCAGTTTGAAGCAAACAGGCACAGAATGGATTTTTTTCAGGACTATGCTCATCATATGCTGGAATCTCATTTGCAGAGCAAACAATGGAATCAAAATCCTGTACAACCATATGGAATTCTTCGAGGATGCGCTCAAAATTTACATCATTCATCAAAAGAATGATCAGGAAGGAGATCGACCACGGGATGGGAAACACATTTACGCCAATCCTTTAAATCCAGACATCTGCCCCTTGCTGGCCCTTGGTAAGTGAAGATTTGTTTGTACACATCGCTAAGAATTGATATTACTTCCGGTGAACGCAGGCATTACTGGTGTGCTTTGGAATGAACGATATTGAAATGAAAGCTATTCCGGGCATAATCAGTCGACGTTTCAGCAAAATCATCACAGGTTCCGCAACAACGAAAATCTGAAAGATGCCTTCAAATTCCTGGGAATAGACATACAAAATATCGGGTCACACAGTGTAAGAAAAGGTACTGTACATGGTTTGGTATCCACTCGGATCCAATGACTGATGTTGTGCAAAGGATCCGCTACTTATTGTTCCGGTGGAAGTCCAGATGGTCCAAGATATGTTCCTCTGAGTAATAGGTGACAAACAATATCCATCACTGGATTCTGAGCCGTAGCGCAGAATTGGCTGGAAGATGGGACCTGTGCAAGACACATACATGAGACTTGAGGCTGCAGGTAATTCTCTTCTCTGAGGTGACATGGAAGGGCAACGACTTGACCGCGCGATAGGCGACCAGTATGTGGGAAGGACAGCGACGGGCCTGCCCCTGGACAAGGCAGAGTTTGCCACGTTGCCCCCCTACTTTCGCTGGTCTGATGGGGATGAAAGAGCATTTGTATCGTCTTACATCTCAGAGATGTTCCCTGGAATTACAACCAAACTGTATCTTGTTGCAGAATACGCTGTGGCTTCTGTTGTGTATCATTCTGAATTTTTGATGAAGACACTCCCGAAGGAACATGCTTTGTTGGCTACTTGCCTGTTCACGCAACAAGGAATTCTTCAACGAATGAAGAAAATGGTGACAATCGAGGGCGATGGCAGACGGTGTACAGGCATTCCAGCGCATGTAACAATCCTCAGAGGCATGAAAGGGCTTGAAGCTAGCAGGAAGGAGGTAGAAACGCGTGATACGCAAACAGACATCAGTCTGATTGCATCAAACTCAGTGAACAATGGCAACATGGAGCAGAGTCACTGTGTTGGAAATATCGGCGGAGGGATGATGATGCCAATTGTGCTTCAAAAAGTGGAAGAGATGACAACTCGATTTCGTCATATGGAGGATATGTTAGAGGTCCTGATGAGACAGGTGAATGGGAGGGCAGACTGTCAAAGCAGTCCAAGACAGCCTGCACAAGTTGAGCAGAGTGGAGCATTGCAGGTGAACGGATACAACTGGGGTCGACGCATTCGCCTTCTGCCAGAAGATTTTTTATGGCCAAAGATGTTCGTTGATGTGGCTTACGAGTGGTGGATGCAAGGAAATGCAGAAAAAGGGTATCCACCATTCAAAACCCTGGAACCGAGTGATTTTGCCGACCAGAATGCAAGGAAACGTTTGAGTGACTTCAGGTATCTGATGGGCAAAATAGACCAATGTGCACAGGAGAAAGGAGTGTATAAGGAGAACGCAACCATGGAGGAAACCAAGGAAATCTTCAAGCAGTGCGTGGAATGCTTGAAACTACCGAGGAAAGAAGGGAGGCAACGACGGACCTGGCAGTCTGTAGCGACCTGGTGCAGAGAACAAGACGGATTGCATCGTTGAATCGTGAGATTGTAGTTCAAGATCATTGTGTACATCATACATCCATTGTCATATGGCTAGCTATGATGTAAAGAGGAAAAGAATGCTCTCATCTACTCAGAATCGCTCACAGCACCGTCTTTCATCCTCTTCTGAAGCCATTGCGCAAATTTTATGGGAAATTTATTGCGAACTATAAACTTTCATAAATTCTGGTACAACCCGAAAATCGGATACATAATAATATGATCCGGAAGAAACCTCCTACCCATAATAAACGGTTCAATGATTGACGGTTATTAGCATGATGAACTGAGAGGACTCGGGGCCCTCACTGAGCCGCCGCAATCATCATACTACCGTGCCCGGCCCGGCCGGGCGGGCCTCATACGTTGAACTTTCCGAAACGGTTTACCGGGGTCCGTCGGCGTTTCACGTCCTGGCCCCCGGCGGGCCGCGCCTCGGCGTACAATCAGGAGACACGGTCGAGGATGGCAGGCTTGATCGGACAGTGACCCTGACATTCCGGCTAGTAGACCGAAAAGAGAAAATCAGTGACACGTGACAGCGAGAACCAAACCTACTAGGTGAGCCTCCGGCTAATCCTCAGCGGCCGCCAACTGCTAGCTCCGAGGCTGGGGCCGATCCGATCCCGGCGGCCTGGACTGGGAGTCCCCCCGGAGTGTCAGGGCGGCCCCCGGGCCGAATCAGCCCGGCGCGGCGGCCCGGGGCCCGGGGCAGAGGTCCTCTCATGTCTGGATGCTTGCTGAGTTTCATATCAGGAGTCCAGCCGCGATGATACACGGGCGTGACTCCGTGACTATCTCTCATGTGCTCCTCGGTCAATTCTGGTATTGTGTGCATTAAACTCGGTCTTGAGGCCGAGCAAAAACTGTCTTGTTACAACTAAGGTCGATGTGATATCTGCGTGACTTTGGCAAAGTATAAGTCTAACAAACTTGTGCCGCTCCGTCAGGCACCCACTGGCGGCCTGCGGGGCCAGGCCGCCCGGCCGGGCGGCGGCGCGCCGCCGCCGCCGGCCGGGCCCGGTGCCAGTCATGATCCCGGGGGATCCCGTGATCAGTGCTGGCATGTGACTAGTTATCAGCTAGTCACGAGCACCCGGTCCGATCCTGACATGCCCCCGAGCCAGGGCTCACTGGGTACGATACCAGCCGCACGTTGAGGTGAAATGACTAGTAGGGTAGCCCATCCCTAAGACCCCAGTACCTACCCACCCTTTTCCTAGTCAAAGTACCCCTCTTTCGTCTCTAACCAACTACCCCTGTGCCGATCAGACCCCCCCCGGCAAAGTTACCTCCGGGTTTACTACAACAGAATCCGACTGTTGGGCGAGACATCCGACATGCACGAAGAGGACCAGGAGAGCGTAAGCGACGAGCGCGAGCTCAAGTCGCGTAAAGAACATGCGAATGCTTTCACTGAGTGCAGTCAATGTCGACAGCCAGGGAGCGAGGCTTTGGTGATGGAGGGGGCGGAGGTTGTGAAGCTTGGAGCTCCTGTAATCGGGTCTCTCGCCCTTCAGATGGGCCTCAGCTTCACCATCTTCTTAGCAGCAAGGGAAAAGGGACCGGCAGCGCTGGCGGGATTGGGACTAGGGTCCATGTACGTCAATGTTACAGGAACCTCGCTGCTGATGGGGCTGTCCTCCGCGCTTGAGACTCTCGCTGCTCATTTCCATGGAGCCCAGCAGCCTCGTCAAGTTTCTCTCGCCCTTCAGCGAGCCATGTTGGTCCTTGCCGCTGCCTCCATCCCTATCGCCTTCTTGTGGTGGTCCGCTCCCGATATTCTTCAGCTCTTGGGAGTGGAGTGGGAGGTGGCGCGTCTAGCAGGAAGGTTCTGCCGCTTTATGCTCATCGGGCTGCCTTCCATGGGCGTCCTCGAGGCTCTTCGGAAGTACCTCCAAGCGCAAGGGATCATGAAGCCCTTCGTGTACGCTTCCCTCGCCGCTAACGTCGTTCACCTGGTGGGGTGCTGGCTGCTGGTGACAAAGGACGTTCTGGGGCTAGGAGTGGCATCGGCAGCGCTCTCTCTCTCCCTTGCCTACTACGTCTCCCTCCTCATCGTCCTCGCTGCTTGCAAGGTGCACGGCCTTCACAAACCGACATGGCATGGGTGGGATCGCGAGTGCCTCTTGCACCTTGATGAATTTCTCAAGCTCGCTCTGTCAGGAGGTCTCGCTCCTTGTTATCTTTCTCTCCTTGTACTTCTACTGCTCTCCTTGTACTTCTCTGCTCCTTCCCTTCTTTGCTCCTTGTTATCTTTCTCTCCTCCTACTTCTCTCCTCCTTCCCTTCTTTGCTTCTCGCTCTTCCTTTCCTCCATGATCCCTGCTCGCGTTCTTCCACAACACATCCATTCTCCCTTGCTCCCCTCGCCTCTGCTCCCTTCTCCTTCTCTCTTCGACATCTCTGCCTTGTCATCTCATTTCGTTCTCTCCGCGAATCTCACTTTGCCCCTGCAGTGGGGATGATCTGCTTGGAGTGGTGGTGCTTCGAGATCGTCACCCTGGGTGCTGCTCAACTCGGTACGACGGTGATCGCAGCTCAGACCATCATGTTCAACACGACCGAGCTCTCCTTCATGGTTCAGTCTCCAATCCCCTCCTTATCCTTCAATCCTGCGTGTTGTTCTCTTTCCCCTATGATCTTGTCTTTCTCTTCTCCTCCTCTCGTCCTATTCTTCCCCTCCTCCCATTGTACTTCATTCCACGCTACTTTCACTGAGTAATCTTCTAGCTGAGCCTTCTGCTGTCTCAGGTTTCTCTTGGACTTTCAGCTGCTGTCAGTGCACGTGTGGGGAACGCATTGGGTATGTATAGGAGGAGCAGGAGGAGCAGGAGCAATAGGAGGGAAGGGACTGATGAGCATGCAGGAGCTCACGACGCCGCTCTGGCAAAGCGTATGCTTATTCCCCCTCCCTCAACTGCTCACTCTCCAATCTCCTCACGAGAGTGCATGACCCTTCTTCCAGTCTCCAGCCTTGTCACCGTAGCCATCTGCTGCCTGATCTCCGGCCTGCTCAGCGTCGTCCTCTTCGTTTTCCGCGAGCAGTGGGTCAGACCTCTTCCCTTGATTTGCTCCAGCTCAACTCATGCGCCAGGCGAAGAGTTTCTCGTGTGATGAAGAAGTTTGGCAACTAATCGCGTCGGTCATTCCCATCCAGGTACCGCTTCATTCTCTCCCCTCCTGGTCCCCTTACTCCCCCTCCTCTATAACTCGTGCTAACTCGTGCTTTCTCAAGGCCTCCTTTCTCATTCTTGACTCGCTCTGTGGCGTTCTTGGTGGCATTCTCAGAGGGTCTGTTGACCTTTTGTCCTTCTTGTTCATTCCCCTGTTGACTTCTCCACCAACCACATTCCTCCTCCTCCTCCTCCAACCACATTCCTACTCCTCCACCACCAACCACATTCCTCCTCCTCCTCCTCCTCCAACCACATTCCTCCTCCTCCTCCTCCTCCAACCACATTCCTCCTCCTCCTGCACCACCAACCACATTCTCCTCCTGCACCACCAACCACATTCCTCCTCCTCCTCCTCCTCCTCCAACCACATTCCTCCTCCTCCTCCTCCTCCAACCACATTCCTCCTCCTCCTGCACCCCCAACCACATTCTCCTCCTCCTCCACCAACCACATTCCTCCTCCACCACCTTCTCTTCGTCTTCGTGAGATGGAGCAGGTGCGGTAAACAGCATATTGGCTTTCTCTTCAACATCCTTTCATACTACGTCATCGCCCTGCCTGCGGTATTTCCCTACTCCCCACCCATTCCCTGCTCACCTTTTACTAGGGTATCCTCCTCACCTTCAAGGAGGGCTTGGGGTTGCATGGCATGTGGATCGGCCTTGCGTTCGGCTCAGCCACGCAGGTCTCTTGTTTCATCTCTGCTTCTCTTCCCTTTCCCCTTCACTTTCCATCTCATGCTTGGTCTCTACTGCTCCCTTCCGTGCTTCGTCTCCTGCTCCCTCTCTCGCTCCTCCAAGTCCCTTCCCCTCTCCTGCTTCGTCTCCTGCTACCTCTCCTCTCCTTCTACTTCCCTGCCTTGTAGCTGCTCATTTGAATAGGTACTGGGTGTTGGATTCGTTCTCCTCCGCAAGGACTGGAACGCAACAGCTCGAGCAGCGCAGGATAGGATTGCAAGACACTCCATCAGCGAGGAGGACTGTGAGCTCCTCCCTCTTCCCTCCCTCATCCCCTTCTCCACCCCATCTCCATTTCCCTCCCTCTTCTCTCCCTCATCCCCTTCTCCACCCCTTCTCCATCTCCCTCCCTCTTCTCTCGCCCATTTCCCACTTTGCTCACCTTTCCCCTCCTGGGCTCGCTCGCCTCGTCCTCGTCGTCCTCCTCCTCACTCAGCTCTCCCTCACACTTGGGCAGGTGCCAAAGGGCTTCAAGGCAGCAGCGACCGCTTGGACCTTCTTGCCAACATGCAGGAGCAAGTCTAGGAGATGGGACTCGAAATTGTTCGATCCCTCATACCCCTGTAAAGCACTAGTAGCACCGTTCCTAGACCATGTCCTATCGAAGTAACACTTTCACCGCCTTTCTACATGAGCACTGTGCAGGGATGCTGCGTTGAGGAAGAGCTGACATTGGCTGCTTCCAAGCTCGAGCCTGTTTCCTCCTGAAACACCATGGATGAGCGGTAATGCAAGGAGGAACCAAGGTCGTTGAGGAGTCACGGGAACCTCATAATGATGACTGTACGCCTATCGTGTATAGTTACATCTGTACCTATATTTCTCCGCCCTCCCTCCCTCCCTCCCTCTTTTCCCTCCTCCCTTTTCTTTTTGGTTCAATAAGATCAGTAAGAAACACGCAAAACCTTGTTCTGCTGTATCCAAGGATGATAGTGTGATCCCTCTCACTCCATCATGTTCGGCCCGGGATCCCCCCCCGAGGAGACAGCAGCCCTGACCTGTCTTGTTCGTCAGCAGCCGGCATGCTGGGACAGCCTTGACCTGTCTTGTTCGTCAGCAGCCGGCATGCTGGGACAGCCCTGACCTGTCTTGTTCGTCAGCATGCTGGGGGAAGACAGGACCTCGTTGATGCCGACTTCTCTCCTATGCAAGATGCCAGCAGCGTGGTGGTTGTGGCGGTGGTGGTTGTAGTGGTGGTGGTGATGGTGATGGTGATGGTGATGATGGAGACAGGTGAGGCAAGAGCGAGAGGCAGAAAGAAGCGGAGGAGATGGAGAGGAGAGTCAAGAACAGCAGAAGGCTTCTCACCTGCCCATCCTGGTCGATGCAGTTTAACAAGATCTTCCCCGCTCCCACCACCTCGCACGCCTGCCAGAGCAACTGTTGGGGCATGGAGACAAGAGGGAGGCGAAGGCGATGATGGAGAAGCTGCTGATGAAGGTGATGATGAAAAGAGTGATGAAGTTAACAGAGAGCGAGATCGATATGATGGAGGAGGAGGGGAAGATGACGACGACGGTGGTGGTGGTTGTGATGATGATGAAGCTCATCCTCCCTGCCTCATCCTTCCTCCCTTCCTTATCCCAGCTGCCACTCCTCCTCGTCTCCTCTCCAACTCGTGCCTGTACCGCTGGCCGCTCTCAGCCCAAGAGCAGCAGCGGAAACTTGCACCTGCAATCCGGCGACCGGGAGCTCTGGGACTGTGACGAGGTCAATCATGGCAGTGCTGTCCTCTGTGGACACTCAGGATCTTCCTGCACCCTTGCTCCTACTGCTCGTCGTCTCAAGATTTATGTCACCTCCCCCGTCACTCCCTCCTACCCCTCGTCTTCACTTGCCCCATCCCCTCGCTGGAAATCGCACCGGTAGTGGCTGTGAAAGAATACCCCTACCCCTTTCAATCTAGACTCGTAGAAATGGCGTGATGTTTCACGATACACCTCATACGCATCTTCACGCCATGCAGTGCGGGAGCAAGGAGCTCGCGGTGTAGAGTAGACGTCATGCCGCATGCAGCGCTGAGAGTGCTGCTTCGTTCGCCTCCTTCCCTCCTCGAGCTGCTCTTCTTCGGGCCTGTGGATGCTCGAACCCTCGACCTCCTTTCCTCCACGACGACACAGTGTCTGAAGCGATTCCTGGAGAAGGACATCGAGATCGAGAGGAAGCAGATTCAGTCGCCGATTGTTGTCAGCATCTTGTAAGATCAGTGATCGCAATGTGAGTGGCTCACGTTTGTGTTGTCCAGACGATTCAACCTCTCCCACTCTCCACGCTTAGACTTGTTGGACCTGTGGAACATCCTGCACGTGCACTGGTTGGACGCCATCGAGCTCGAGGGCTGGAAGGTCTCGTCGATCAGCATGCGGGAAGGGAACTCAGAAGCCCGCAAGGACGAAGACCATGGTGAGCGATGTGATGGTTTGTGAAGAATATGAGTTGCTTGCTACTAGGCTAGGTGCACTCCATCTCTCCTCGTCTGCACTACTTCAGAAGGCATGTTTGCCCGCAGTCTACGAAGAGTGCATATTCGAAGAGAGCGAGGACAAGCTTGAGACTAGCGTGAAGCAGGAGGTCCAGGAAGACAGCAGAGCTTCGGGGTTGCCGCTCCCAAAGGTGAAGTCAACGCTCAGTTGCAGGTGGTTGAGCAGCTCGTGAAGGAAGGGACGTCGCTGCAGTGGAACTCATCATCTGGGTCCGGCAGCTCGAGCCGACTGCCAGGCTTGTGTACTGACTTGAAGTGAGGCTCACACCGTTCATGATCGTGATGCGCGCAGCCGCCGAGTGACCGTACGGCCGGGTACTCGCCGGGCCGCCCGTGACGGTACCGTCACGGATGTCCGAGGAGTCGGCTGAGCCTCAGGCGGCGGCCGGAGGAGGCTCTGCCCGCAGGTCACACTGTCATTGTGCCCTCCGAGACTGAACCTTGAGATCAGGCTACTCAGAATTGAATCCGGGCTCTTGAGTGGCAAGTTCAAGCAACTTTTATGAGCGAGCAGATTCAGTGATACTGCGGCCAGGAGTGCCTAGATTAAACCGCCCAGGCCCACTACCCGGCGACTCGAAAGGTCGCGACAGTGCAGAGTTCGAAGTTCCCGGCCTAGGCCACTGTATGATGGTCACACTACTACCGTACGGCTACACTGATCCGAGGCTATCACCGCCACTGATGACTCATTGACGCGGCAGAGGGCTGGATGCTTGAGCAAATCTAATCGGCGCATGAATCGAATGATGCTTGGCATAGCATTGAACAACGAAGGTCCATAGCAACTTGAATCAGACTTCCAAACGCTCAGCGCTTCAGCGGGAATTGTGTTCCATACCCTCAAGACAGAGCTGCGATAGGCTTTGCGGTAGAAACCGTGACGTCTGCATTGATCCTCATCATGTCAAATTTCTCTTCGACACTCTGCGAGTCGTCTCCATGGCATCTTTGCTGCAGCTGAAGGACAGCTTCATCGTACTCGCACCGTCTGACGTGCAAACTGAAGCCACTAAGGAAGAGAAACTCCAGTTCGAGCCCATTCAGTTCATCATTCTGAATGCCACCGACCTGAATAGTACAACGTCATGGAATTACCTTGAACAAGAAGCCAAGTCTCATGCATCACCTTCGACCAGTAGCTGTTGGAGAAGTAGAAATCGTCGACGAACTTGGTGGCTACCATGACAGCAGTGAGGACCAAACGATGCATGTTGTATGAGTTCAGCAGGTAGGTAGCATCAGAGCTTGCAAGACGCTCTAAGTAGAGAAGACCAAGGACAAAACAGCATGTGCTGCATCCACCAAACGTCTTGATGCGCTCGAGATAGGCCTTCACTGAGATGTTGGGTGGCCTATGACCATGGAAGACTGTGACCTTGGATGGCTTACCGTTCTGCCATGACCATCAAAGTCAGCGGGTAATCTCGAAAACATTCAAGCAAACAAGCATCACCAGCTTCTCATCATTGAATGCCACTTCCTTTTCTAACACGTTGACAATGACGTCAAACAGGGCCTCCTGAGATTCAGCATCCTTGTTGCTCATGGCAATGAAATCCACGAAAGACATCCCTTCCGCAATATCTCCAGTATTTGACATGATTTTAACTATAATTTCAATTTCGGTGAACGTGGACAAGAGGTTTCACCAATGTAGATAACAAAACAATACAGTCGAATGTACAAAATTGATTACAGATTTCTAAAGTTTCACAGACCTCGTCCGATGACCTTTATGTCTTATGGAAAAGAATCCAAGTCGGACTTGCTTGTTGCGTCGATGATACAAACGATTCAAACACGGCAAACTTGGCAGACAAAAGCAACCAGCCGCACTATTGCCCCTTGAAAGTACAAATTGAAGCAATGTATCTTGATTGCGTTCAAGCTATTTCAAGATCCAACGACACAGCATAAAGGAAGATATATCGACAGTTTGAAGCTTACAGTACAAGACCACAAGAGAGCGCACGTTCGAATGACCCTCTTTTGTCACGGGCTACAGCACGTGCTGGTTGGTGCTCGCAGGTTAATGAGATAAGACCCAGGGACCTCACGCTGAGAATGGAGAGGAGCAGTTGAAACAGCAGCAAAGGCGTTGAGATCGATATTCGAAGACAGGGGATGAGGAAGAAGAGGAGGAGGAGGAGTTGGATAATACGGTGTAGCTTGTACAACTGCTTGCGTGCATGGCGCGACCCATAGACGGGGGTAGGACGGTCGATTGGGCGGACCACGACCACTCCTTTGGAACGGGGTGGGTCCTTTCATGGGTTTGGAGGGGGTAATGAAAAACGGGTGGGCGGGCGGTAAAGAATACTTTTAAAAACTGGGGGAAGGAGGAGATAAAAAAAAATACCAGGAGGGACACGTGTAAAGCCCAAAGGCAATAACTAAAACATACTACTGGAGGGGTGAACGGATGTAACGAGATTTATAATAAATATACACAAAACTATGAGAAAATTATTCAGTCAAATATTATTAATTCTCAATGTGTACCATTTATCTTTAGTTAATAAGGATTACCAATATTGAGTGAAAACGATGAAAAAAGAAAGGGAGCATGGCAGGAGTTCCGAGGAACTTGTCGGGCAAGGGGGGGGGGGGGGGGGGAAGGGCGGGAAGGCCCGAAGAGAAGGGAAGAGACCAAAAAAAACCCCGGGGAAAA